TTCAGTGGCTAAGTACCCCTGAGTTCAATCCCAGGTTAAAAAAAAAAAAAACACAGAGAGAACTCTTCCGAAAGAAGAATAATATCCAGAATATATAAAGAACTCAAAAATTTTAACACTAAAAACCCAGTGGGGGGCTGGGGTTGTGGCTCAGTGGTAGAGCACTTGCCTAGCATGTGTGAGGCACTGGGTTCAATTCTCAGCACTGCATATAAATCAACAAAATGAAGTCCACTCACAATTTAAAAAAACACCCAATGAACAAATGAACAGCCACTTCTCAAAAGAAAAGATACCAAAGGACAACAAAAATATGAAAAAATGTTCAACACTGTTAGCAATTAGGAAAATGCAAATCAAAATTTACTGAGATTTCATCTCATACCAGTCAGATGGCAGTCATCAAGAATACAAATAATGATAAATGCTGGAGAGGATGTGGAGAAAAAGGAACACTTTTATGCTGTTGGTGGGACTGTAAATTAGTATAACCACTATGGAAATCAATACGGAAGCTCCTCAAAAGACTAGGCATGGAGGGGGGCTGGGGATATGGCTCAGTGGTAGGGCACTTGCCTAACATGCTCCAAGTCCTGGGTTCAGTCCCCAGCACTGCAAAAAAAAAAAAAAAAAAAAACTAGGCATGGAACTACCATAGGACTCAGCTATACCATTCCTCAGTTTTATCCTAAAGAATTAAAGTCATTCTACAGTGATACATGCATACCCAAGTTTATAGCGGCACAATTAACAATAGTCAATCTTTGGAACCCAACTTGGTAACTGTCAGTAGATAAATAGATTAAAAAAATGTGTTATATATACATAATGGAGTTTTATTCAGCTATAAAGAAAAATAAAATTGTCATTTGCAGGAAAATGGATGGAACCAGAGAACATTATATTAAATGAAATAAGTCTAACTCAGAAGGTCAAAGGTAGTGAAGCTAGAGAGGAAAAAGGAAAAGAAAGGTGGTAGTAGTGGTGGTGGTGGTGGTGGTGTGGGGGGGAATCTTGTGAACATCAAAGGGACATCAGTAGAGAAAAGGGACTACACAGAGGGAAATGGGAGGGAAAAGGGAAATACTAGGGAATAATATTGGTCAAATTATATTGTTATGTTGTGTGCATGTACAAATATGTAACAACAAATCCCACTATTATGTAAACTATAATGCATCAATAAAAAATATGGGAAGGGGGGCTGGGGATTTAGCTTAGTGGTAAAGTGCCCCTGGTTCAATCTCCAGTATCCCCCTCCCACCAAAAAAAAAATAAGAATGCTGGCTCAGGCTAGGGCCCAATAAGGGGGTCCAAAGCAAACACCACCTCAGACAACCACATCCAGAGCTGTGGAAAATGGGAATGCTAACGTCACCTCCCAGGGAAACTTTTCTTTTCATTACTAGGGATTGAAGCCAGGGCCTCACACATGCTAGGTAAGTGTTCTACCACTGAGCTGCAGCCCAGCGCCTCCACAGCACCTTGGGAAGGTTTTGCCATTGCTCAAGTGTTCATCACTGTTATGGTTTGGGTGTGAGGTTTCCACCCTAAAGCTCTTGTGTCTCTGCAGGAATAGTCAGAGGTGAAGAGATTGAATTATGAGAACTGTAATCTAACCAGTCCGTCCTAGTTTGAATGAACTGACTGGGTGATAACTGCAGGCAGGTGGAGCATGGCTGGAGGCAGTGGTCACTGGACCCTTGCCCTGGAAGAGTGCACTGGCCTGTGATTCCTTCCGCTCTCTCTCCTTCCTTGCTGCCATTAGGGAGCAGCTTCCCTCTGCCATGCTCTCCCGCTATGATGTCCTGCCTCACCTGGGGCCCAGAGTAATGGAGCTGACCATCCATGGAGTAAGACCTCTGACACTGTGAACCAAAATATACATTTCCTCCTCCATGTTGTTATTTTGGTGACAGCGATGACTAAAACAATTATTATTAGACCCTGATTTGCTAAAACTCCAACACGTCTTCAACACATTTATGCAACAATATAAAATACCCCCAAAACAATTGAAATATAAATGCATTTCAATCTGTGTGACACACTGCAGGTGCTCTGGTTGTTGGAAAACAGAACAAGGAGTTCTGAAATAAACAAGCAACAATGTGTTGGACCCACAACTTCATGAAAGCAGCATTATACAGAACAGTCTTAATAATAGCTCACAGCATCCTTCATCTTCCCCTGTGGCTGGCCACCAGGGATTATCATTACAGATGAGAAAACCAAGGCCTCAGCCGGGCAGGCGGGGCGGCTCAGGCTGCTTGTCTACCACATGTAGAAACCCAGTCAGGGAGGAACCTGGGAACCTGCAGTTCTGGAAAGGCTCACTAGGGGGAGCTAGTGCACAGCCACCAAGGGGCAAGCTGGGTTTCCCCTGCAACCAGCTGGAGGTCAGAGGACACCCAGGCTGAGCTGGGAGCCTCCAGTATTGTTTTTGATTTTTTTTTTGGGGGGGGGGGGTTTTTTTTTTTTTTTTTTTTGATTGAACCCAGGGTGCTCCACCACTGAGTCATATACCCAACCCTTGTTATTCTTTCCTTTGAGACAGGGTCTCACTAAGTAGCCCAGACTAGCTTGAACTCACAGTTCTCCTACCTGAGGCTCCTGAGTTACTGGGTTATAGACACCACCACTCTGCCAGGCTGGGAAGCCCAGGCTTTCTAATCCAGAAGTCTCAAATGGGGCAGTAGCATCTGGCAATGACTGGAGGACAGACATTTGCTTGTCACAACACGGGGTGCTGCTTGTGTCACTGGGCAGAGGCCGGGGGTGCTGCCTGACCTTCTACAATACACAGGACACAAGCCATAGGAATTACTCAGCCCAAATGTCAATAGTGCTGAGAAGCCTTGCAATCTAACCCTTAATAACAACTTGCAGTGGGGCGCAAGTCCTCGAATCTGGTGGTGTGTTGACCAACAGAGCCAGTCCTTGGACCATGCCTATGGATCCCAGTCGGCTTGCTGCCAAGACACCTTCCCCCCTCATGGTGTCTGCCCTTGTTTCCCAAGCACTATGTGCTCTGTTTGGGGTGGGTGCTGAGACCAGCAGACTTCTGATTCTCCATTTTTGGCCTGTGCCTCTTGGGGGTGTCCAGTAAGGGCAGCAGAAGACACTGGCACAATCAGCCCAGAGCAAGGGGCTGCCAAGGTGCAGTCCAGGTGGCCCATGGCATCAACACAGCGTTTGGTTTGCCAGCCTCACTGGCTGATGGGTACAGACACTTAGCTAAGCAGCTTGCTCTAGAACCAGCTACCATGGCAACCCCCTTCAATGGGTCGCTGTGGTAAGCCATTGCAATGACTTTCCAACGGCAGGGACATTCCTTATCTGTACAAACAGGCCTCTAAGGGCTGCATGGTCAAGTCCAAACCTGTTCACGAGCCCTTTCATGAGCTGAGCAGGTGACCCTGTTCAGGGCTCAGGACATTCAAGAGCTCTAGAAGTCTTCATCCATCAAGGCAGACTGGGGGCAGGCTGCTCTGCAGGCCTGGCACCTCACGTGCTGTGTCCACCTACCTGTGAGCCCCTCTGCCACCCTCGGCAGACTTGCCTCTAGAAGCATTTTTCCTTTTTTTGAGACGAGTCTCACTACTTTGCCCAGGCTCGTCTTGAACTCATTGGCTCAAATGAGCCTCCTGCATCGGCCTTCGGAGTGCTGGGACTCCATGCGTGTGTACTGCTCCTGGCTAGCACTGGTGTCTAAGCCCAAGTTTCTGCTGTGGATCAGCCTTACCAGCTCTGCTCCATTCCTGTTGGTGTGGGATATCTGCTTCCATAAAACTTCAACCTCTGGTGTCTCCAAATTGAGAGCTCATCTTTTATAGACAGCATTTAGTTAGGTCATGGGGTTTTTTAAATGAATTCTGCCAACCTGCTTTTCATGTGGTAAAAAACACACAACAATATTAAAGAGTGTGATCCCAGGGCACTTGATACAGAGACAGAAGTTATGACAGTCACCGCTCCTTACTTCCAAGACATTTTGTTCCCCTGAAAGAAAATCCTGTCTCCATTAGCAAACCACTCCTTCTCTCCTTTCCAACAGCGCTCACCCCATTTCTGCCTGCGGACGTGCCCCTCCTGGCCATTTCATGTAATTGGAATCACGCAGCTTGGGGCCTCTGGGCTGGCTCCCTCCATTCAGCACATGGCTTGCGGCTTCTCCCAGCACCGCTCTGCCCCTCTTGCCTGACAGGGCCCAGGCTTGGCCAGACTGGAGTCTTCCTCCCTCCCACAAACCCAGAGCTCAGGTCCTCATATCCTGCAGGGCCCTGGGCTGGCTGACTTGCTGAGACTTCAGTGCACCTCTTTCCCTGCTCAAGTCAAATCTCAATAAACGGACTGGGCACCTAAAATATGTTGAACTCTGTGCTAAGCACTTCCTGGGCGCTCTCATCCAGTGTGAATTCTTGCTACAACCTGGGAGGAAACCATTATCGACGATTACTGACCATGACCAACCCACCCTTTCTGGCTGGCAAGAGGCTGTGCTGCCTGCTGCTCACAAACCCACACTGCCCAGGTTTCTCCCGGCTTCTCCGTCTTGTAACGCTGACCTCAAGTAGGTCACAAAACCACTCGGTGCCACTGTCTTCTGAAAACTAGACTGCCTGCCTCCTGAAGTTACTACAACACTCAAAGGACCTATCAGATGCACAGCATTTAGTCCACCTGGCACATGGTAATTGCCTCACGAAGTTACCGAGACCCTCCACCCACAAAGCAGCCACGCCCACCCCACCAGCCCTGGAAACTGGCCTATTGTGGATATTCTGTATAAATGGAACACTCCAGCATGTGTCTGTTTGTGTCTGGCTCCTTTCCTCAGTACTTGACAAGGATGCAATCTTGGGAGTTTTGATTCTGCTAGACTCCAAGGTCTGGCTCTACCCTCCCTCTGTAAAGGGATGCCCACCACGAAGGAACAGGGAGCGGCATGCTTGGGAGGAGCGCACAGGGGCTGAGAGCTTCTACAGCTGGGCTTTTACCTTGGCCATGGCTTCTTCATTGCCCTCCACCATCTTTCGGAGCTTGATGAGATGCCACAGGTCCTCGGCAGGCCGTTTGGTCCCCTGGCTGCCCTCCAGCAGCTGGGCAGTGGAGGGCAGGTCCTGCAACCCAGCCAGTTGATTCTCTATCCTGTCGAGGCGGGTCACCACACCGTCAAAGACGTTGCTGAGTCGCTTCATAGGGTTGATTACAGGCTGGGAATCTCCTTCCCCAGGCACAACCACGACCTGCGAGGTCTGGAGGAAGTCCTCATCCCCCGAGAGTTCCTTCTTGAGCTCAGCTATTTGAATGTGCTCCAGAATGCCCTTGATCAGGAGGTGCAGGGCCCTGAAATTCACCACCCCGCACTGTGGTATGGCAATGTTGGTCAGTTCCATGAATGTGAGTGAGAAGCTCATCTTGCCGGGCTGGGTTGGTGCGGCTAGGCTTCTTGGAATCCTTGGGGACAAGTGGTGGCTTCCTGTGGTCAAAGAGCTGCACAAGCAGGTCTTCAGAGGCTCGGAAGGCAGAGAGTCACAGTGGTCAGGGAAGAATGGCCTCTGTCCTGGCCAGAGATCAGATCTGATTTTCTGGTTGCTAGGACACCAGAGAACATGGTCAAGTGGGCATGCTTCCGAGAGCCAGGAGGAGGTGGTGCTCCTGGGTGAGCCACGCCCAAATAGGAACTCCATTAATATTTAATGACTACCTGAATAGTGAACAGGCAGCCCTTCATTCCCGCCCTCTGCTTGTGTAAGGCTGATGACCCTTTCCAAGAGGTATGCAGGGAAGTGAGGGAGCATGCATCTCAGAAGTCTCTAGAATCAGAAGACAGATTTCTTGGAGTCAGGAAGGCCTAGGTTTTAAGAAAAGAGGACATAGAGAAAAGAGTCTGAAGAACTAAGCTGGTTTCTTGGCAGGGCCAAACACACACCTAGCTGCTCCAGTTTCTGGAAGGGGAGAGCAGGGAGGTGAGTGGGCGTCATTTGGTCTGTCCTGCATGTCCCTGTCTTCCTGGATGATATCACCCTTGCTGAACCCTGCTCTGCTCCCCACATGAGCTGGGGCTCAGTAAGACCCCAGTTCTAATCAGGATCTCAGTCCTGCTCTGAGTCTGAAGGCATGGCTAGGAGCCAGTGGCTGCAGGGTGAGGAGGCTTTGTTGGGTCCTGTTATAGTCAGGCTCTGCTGGGTCAGTTCTGGGTCCCAAAAGCAGTCTGCTTGTCCCCATCTTCTAGTGAAGCCTGCAGGGAAGTTCCTCCATTCAATGCCCCCCTGAACCTCACATTCTTGGTGCACAGCATGCAAGATGACCTGCTCAGGATTCCCACTGGCTAAGGACGACCAACCTTTCTGGCTTCCCTGAAGGAACTCTGGAAAGCAGTTTGACTTCCTCAAACACTCCCCAAACCACCTACCATGGACCTGATCCTAACAGCTAGATTAGTCAGTGTTCTCCAGAGACAGAACCAACATCATACACTCACACAGACACATGAGAAGGGACGTATCAGGGGAATTGTCATTATGGAGGTTGAGAAGCCCTACTGCAGGCCATATACACACTAGAGACCCTGGGATGTGGTGAGCATGGCTCAGGCTAGGTCCAAAGGCCTCAGAACCAGGGAAAGCAATGGTATAACTCTCAGTACAAGGCCAAAGGCCTGGGGTGGGGGTGTCACCCAGGAGTAAGTCCTCTCTCCTGCCTTTGGGTTCCAGGATGTGCTTGTGTCCAAGGTCAGGAAGGGAAGAATGTGATCAGTGTCTAAGTTACACAAATGGATACTTGGCCTTTTTCCTATATTTTTGTTCTCTGTGGGCCCTGGCAGGTTGGATGGTGCTCACTCGCATCAACGGCAGGTCTCCCCCACCTACCTGGCTCAGGCTCACTCACTAATCTCTGGAAGCATCCTCAGAGATAATGTCTTTTTCTAGCTATTCCTTAATTTATTCAGCCAAGTTGTCCCCTAAAACTGACCATCATATGCCCTCTTATTAACACCTCTAGGATCCCCACTGTGTTATAGGACCTAAAAATTCAAGGGGCTGTGGCTCAGTGGTAGAGTGCTCACCTAGCATGCACGAAGCCCTGGGTTCGATCCTCAGCACCACATAAATGTAAAATAAAGATATTGTGTCCACCTAAAACTTAAGAATAATATTTTTTTTAAAAATTCAGGGCTGGCGGATGCTACGGCCTAAACATGGAGGACTGAGGAACTTCCGGATCCTAGAGCCTAAACATGGACATGCACCTGAGGAACTTCCGGATCCAGGGGCCTAAACATGGATGCCTGAGGAACTTCCAGATCCTAGAGCCTCAACATGGACGTGCACCAAAGGAACTTCCAGATCCTAAACATGTACGTGTGCCTGAGGAACTTCCAGATGCTATGGCCTAAACATGGAGGACTGAGGAACTTCCGGATCCTGGGGCCTAAACATGGACACCTGAGGCACTTCCGGATCCTAGAGCCTAACATGGATGCCTAAGGAACTTCCGGACCCGGGGGGCTTAAACATGAACATGAACCCAGTGAACTTCCTGATCCTAGGGCTTAAACATGGACGTGTGCCTGAGGAACTTCTGGATCCAGGGGCCTAAACATGGATGCCTGAGGAACTTCTGGATCCTAGAGTCTCAACATGGACATGCACCAAAGGAACTTCCGGATCCTAGAGCCTAAACTTGGACGTGCAACTGAGGAACTTCCAGATCCAGGGGCCTAAACATGGACGTGCGCCTGAGGAACTTCAGGATGCTACGTCCTAAACATGGAGGACTGAGGAACTTACGGATCCGAGAGCCCAAAGATTGATGTGCACCTGAGGAATTTCTTGATCTGGGGGCCTAAACATGGACGCCTAAGGCACTTCTGGATCCCAGAGCCTAAACATGGATGCCTGAGGAATTTCTGGATCTGGGGGCTTAAACATGGACATGCACCAAGGAACTTCCGGATCCAGGGACCTAAACATGGACGTGCACCTGAGGAACCTCTGGATCCGTGGGCCTAAATATGGATGCCTGAGGAACTTCCGGATCTGGCTGCCTAAACATGGACACCTGAGGAACTTCCGGTCCTAGAGCCTAAACATGGACGTGCACCTGAGGCACTTCCGGATGCTTCGGCCTAAACATGGATGTGTGCCCAAGGAACTTCCGGATCCGGGTGCCTAAACATGGATGTGTACCTTTGGAACCTCCGGATCCAGGGACCTAAAATGGATGTCTGAGGAACTTCCGGATCCAGGGGCCTAAACATGGACACTCTAGGCACTTCTGGATCGGAGGGCCTAAACATGGACGTGTCTCTGGAACTTCTGGGTCCTTGTGCCTATAAAGGGTAGGGCTTAACTCTCAAAAGGGATGTGGTCCACGAAGAGGAGCGGAGTATGGGGCCTGTTGGGGGGCAGACTAAGCTGTCGCACCCTGAACTTGAATGTGATGGTGGCCTCCCTTCCTGGCCTTCCCCTGGATGTCACTTCCTCCCCTTCCAGGAGGTGCCGGGGAAGAAGTGAGACCAGGCGCAGGGGCCAGGCCCTGAGGAGGGACACCGTTTTTCTCCTCACTTAGCCAGGCACCCGGCCTGGCTGGGGACAGGGACGTCTTGTGACACTGGCTGCCTCCTGCATCCCTGCCCCAGGACCTCAGGGACCACAGGTGGGGACAGTCGTTGATTCTCCCCTGGCCACTGACCCTTAGTCCCGGGGTCTGCCCAGGGAGAGTTCAGTCTCCCAGAGGGTCAGGAGGTCCCTGTGACCTGCTGCTCCTTACCCACCATCATCCTGGGCGAGCACAGGTCAGGACACCAGACGCTACTGAGAATGACATCTTCTAGATGGGCGGCTGGGGACTTTGCCTCTGTCCCCAGGCCTCAGACACTGGATGATCCCCCACAGAGATAGAAAATAACCCCAAACTGCCCAAGACTTATTTTTAAGCTTTGGATTCTGAAATTTTCCTGCTGCCACCTTCTTTGTGAAGCCAGTTTTTCAACAGAGACAGTATTTGGGGTCGGGGGGAGGACAACAACATGGAGTTAATCAAACCAAGCTGGTACATCTGGCCCTCCAAGAAAAATCTGGATTGGAGGAAGAACAGCCATTCTCAATTGTGAAGTTCCCTTGTCTTTTTTTGTGTAAGAAAAATAAATAATCTGATGTTAACTCATCAAATTATTTTTGATGAGTGCTTGGCTCATAGGAAAACTGATTCTGTTTTATGGAATGAAGTGTTACCTGATTTTAAAATTAAAAATGAAGCCAATTAGGATTGTTAAAAAAAAAAAAAAATTCAGGGCTGCGGTTGTGGCTTAGCGGCAAAGCACTCGCCTAGCACGTGCGGGGCCCTAGGTTCGAATAAAGGTATTGTGTACAACTACAACTAAAAAATAAATATTAAAAAAAATTCAAGTGACATGTTTGGGTCACACCAGGCCCTTGAGTTCTCCTGCTCTTGACAGATACGCCTCACCTGGTGGGGAAGGCTCCCGCCTGGCTAGCTCCTCCAGCACCCAGAGCAGCGGCACCCTCCTGGTCCTTACCTTGGGGGTGTCACCTCCCTGCCAGGCCTCAGAAATATTCAAACCAACCAATCATACCTTCCTGAGGGAACTATGGACACCCAACCTCTTCGTCATTACAAAGCCCACACTTCCCACAAGCCCTGCTGGTTCCCTCTGCTCCCCAGTGGATCCCGACTGGGACCTGCAGTGTCCTTCACTGGACTAATGAACTATGTCAGTCACACCTGTCCAGGGTCAGTGTTGGGTATCTGGCTGTCTGGTACTATTGAGGGCAGGTTTCCCTCCCTCCAGAACAGGTAGGCAGAGGTGATCAGAACACTCTTACGGTGTGCTTCCTTGATGCATTGGGTCAATAAATGTAAATTTGTCCAACCACAGGTGGGCTCCTGGTGGTTGTGGCTGAAGGTAACTGAGATGTGATGAAATCAAGGATCTAGAAACTGGAAGGATGCTGGAATATCCAGCTGGGCCCAATGTCACCATAGTGTGTAAAACAGAAAGGAAATGTGAGGGCTCCAGCCCTCCCAACAACGACCCTGCTACCCCATATCCTCTCAGTAGACTTCTTGTCAGCAGAATTGGCTTTTTTATATATATATAGATGGACCTTTATTTTTTTTTAATTTATTAATTAGCTCATGCTAGGCAAGAGCTCTAACACTGAGCCACAACCCAAGCCCCAGAGTTGGCTTTTGCTGCATCTGACTACAAATTCCAGCTAGTCCAGTGGGGTGGGAACACACCCCTGCTCAGCCTGAGCCACAATGGACCTGCCTGGAGTCGCCAAGAAGAACCTGCAGGTGCTCTCCTGACATTCTGGAGTAGCCATGAGGACTAGTTCACAGCCCTGGAAGGTTCAAGTCTTCCCATTCATTTTCGCACATTGTCCTA